TTACAGCCCTTTGACTCCGTCGGATGTTAGTCAGGCCCAGCGGCTCAAGCCCTCTGCGCTAGATTTTGGTTTTACACTGGACTAGGCTGAGTGGGGACCGAGAGACCGCGGGAGATGTAACGAAAATCTTCTATCGCGTTACTCATGGTTCCTGCACTAGCGCAATGTGTAGCACATAGAGGTCGTCGTTGGAGCCTACGGTCAGGCTGAAGAGATTATGGAGTATGTTCTTATTTTAAAAAATGCAGCGAAATGTATATGTCTGTATGAAAGCGACCGGCAGCTGAGTTCTGACTAATTAAATCGGAGGCAGGATTTCCCGACTTTGTTTGCGGCTGCGGAACCCATTAGGCCTTATGCGTATTAATGTACGATTATCCTTCGGATGTTGTGATGAGCAGCTGTCAGAGATACTGGAATGCTTGGTTCTGTAGAATTAGTAGCCATTGTTTCAACAGTGACCGGAAGGAGTAACAAATTTTCCACCGCAGTTACCACAGTGGTCCACCGCATGACGCACAACAAGGGAGGCGTGTGGATGGCGATATCTGCATGGATTAGTCCACACTGATGAAGAGATTTCGAAGCAAATATCACGCTCTCCTCGATCCACATGGATCGGATGCCAAAACAGCGTCTAGAAGGCGACTGGCTCCACTCCAGTCTGCGCCTAAACGTTGCTAAAATTCATGCAATGGAGAGGATCCTAAGATCACCGTTTGAGTACTATGTTAGAATATGCTTAAAGTGATTTTAGAAGCACTTGTCGGGGACAGCTAGTCAGTTTAGATTGAACTTTACAACGCTTTCACCATCGTCCCGTCGACAACGATGCCTATAAGCGGTCAGAAGAGTGGTTGGGTGTTAATTTTATCAGGAAAACCCTTGCCGCTGCCAGCTTCAGCCCGGTACCTTATGGGAACGGATGTGAGACGCCAAGTTGGAGGAATAGAGTACAGAGGCAATGGTGGTTAAGTCAGAGGAAGTTGACAGTCGGCCTAGTGCACAAACAACCGCAAGGGGAGCGGGCGTCATCGCAGGGTTTACAGCGCGGTCATGTGTGAGTCCTCCACAGGGAGATGATTAGCCAGACCAGATTGGAGAAGGCAGGAACTGGTGCTTGCGCACTTCCTAGCAGTCGCTAGTGCGTATGCACTCGCAGTTGGGTCGCTACAGAGTCGCCAAGTTCAAACTTACCACCCCAGATTCCGGCAGCAACCAACAAATCACACCAGACTAGACCTTTATACAGTTCCTGAGGTGGCTGGTAGGCTCCATTATCATGGTAGACTGATGTTGGCTCTTGGACAAAAGTGGCAGCTATGACAGTGGAGGGCCTCTTTGGTCGTACATGAACCAGCCGTCTGGATGACCACAACACCTTGTGCTCGAACCGGCGTCCCGGGCCGTTTCGGGTGAAATGGAAGCCGAGCCCCCAAGATCTCGCGGATATCAGTCGGGAAGAAGCAGATGCGATCAACGAAACAAGGACTTCATTCGCTTGACGTTTCGGATTCTGCTGTAGATCCATGTTCACATGCAATAATCTGCCACGCGCGCTCCTGGAAGACCCGCTGCAGGGCCGAACGGACTGTCCATTAAACGCTCCTTACCAAGCCAACCGCATTGTCTGACTCTTCGTCTGGTCCATGCCGCGCATCTTGGCCCCTAGCCTCCCGAGCTGGAAGCCGATCAGTGTGCACTTTTTCCTGATTGGCCGAGGCAACGAAGGACAGATCAAGATTTGGTTCTAATCCCCCGCGCGCACAGGCACACACACACACACCAACAACTGCTTGAGGAGACTGTGTGCAACACCTGTTCTGTTAAACCCTTTGCAAGTTCTTTAATCCAGTGCACACGGTCCAACCTTATCAGCCTTACATGACTTCGAATTTGGGCGTAAACTTCTGTTGTCGACAATCACTCTGGCGAGATCATCCCCAGCATCAAAAGATCCGTGCTAATGAATGTGTTACTTGTCACTGCGACCGTTGTGCGATCTGAAATTACATGCTTGGCTGTATTTTACACAACAGCCCCCTCATGTTGTTTCATGTTGGCTCAAAAAATGACCACAAAGTGGCCACTCGAAAAAAATTTAAATTTAATGCCGGCTCGATTTCGCTATGCCACAGCATCGTCATTGGTCATTGTGGTACTGAACAGGAGGCCTCGCCGGGTTTCTATAAGCAGTCTCTGACATCCTGTATCCTGACTGGTGAAACTTCCATTGGCAGCTTCAACCATATCGTACCTCATAAGTAAATTAGCACAGAATTGCTATCCTCAGAAACCTCAATTTTATGGAGAAAGGGCACTTTAGGTACTCCCTCGACCGGCCCCTATTTTTCTGACGTAGAGAGTATATTGGGGGTAAAGAAAAATCGACTCTAATGACAGTAAGTCAGATCTGTCTGTAAGTGGGTCAATGCAGACTTTAGTTTTGAAAGTGGAATTAGCTAACTCATGAGCTAAACACCCCGCCAAATGAAGGAGTTGTCGCGGGGGCAGTTAGGTTAATAAAGTTAAACCCGAGCAACTCCAATCTTCAGGCCCAGTTTCTTGTGAAAGGGAGAAAGAATGGGAAGCCAGGGTAGCAGGAATGGTTTATTCTGTAAGAAGGAGTTGAGGTTAGGCTGGAGGAAATTGACACTGGGAGGGGAGTCAGTCCGGCCGCAAGGCCGGCGTAGAAAGTTCGAGAGCGCGAGGTTGTCACAACAGCCTACAAACCGGCCTTCGTGTGAATCAGCCTCAGGGAAATGATTGGTCAGATTGGGATAGCCTAACAGCAGTACAAACGTGCAGACATTCGCGAGAGGCCAAAGGCCGCATTGGTGTGTGCGCAAATTATCCACATTGGGGATGGAACGTTGACGCAGCTTCTGACAACCGGGGCCGGGCGAACGAGACTGTCATCACCTGACTTTACCTGTGGCGTGGCGCGTTAGGAGGATGTAGGGCTGCAGAGC